GACTGCAGATCAAGAGGTCACCGGTTCAAACCCGGTTGGGCCCTTTTCTTCACTTTCTTTCGTTTTTGTTTTCCTTTCCAATTTTTTTATAAAAAGGCGCCAGATTAACCAACGGGTCCATAGCTCAGTGGTAGAGCATTTGACTGCAGATCAAGAGGTCACCGGTTCGAACCCGGTTGGACCCTTTTCTTCACTTTCTATTTCTTTTGTTTTTGTTTTCCTTTCCATCTTTCTTATAAAAAAAGCGTTCATAGCTCAGTGGCAGAGCATTTGACTGCAGATCAAGAGTTCACCGGTTCGAACCCGGTTGGGCCCTTTTCTTCACCTTTCTTTTCCTTCTTTTCAAAACATTAGTTTAAAACCTCATGCAACGCATGAAAATTAATTTATAACAAAAGACAAATGATCATAGATTGATAGATACAGGCGTTAAAAAAAAGATAGATACAAAAAAACATAAGCTCTTATATTAATTAATGAGTAATATAAATAAATGGTTTATTATTTAAAATTACTTTCTTACATTTTTCAAGCATAATAGACATAAAATATTTATTATTAATAATATTTTATATTAAATTATTAATTGATACTTTAAAAATTATAATGTTTTATCATTAAACTTTGTTGAGAAAACGGTGAATACATTGCAAACAAGTGGTTATGTACTTATGTAGAATCATCTAGTCAGCATTATTTTTACCGAGTATACTCCCTCCCTCCCTCCCTCCCTCTCCAATATTCAGACTCTTTTAATTATATAACTAGGGGTGAGCATTCGGTTTATTCGATTAAAAATCGAATTGAATAAATCGAAATTATAAAAATAAAAAAAATGAAAATCAAACTGAAACTAAATTACAAGAAAACTAAAATAACCGAAACTGAAATTTTCAGTTTGGTTTTTGGTTAAAAATCAAATTTAATTAATATACATAAAATATTATATATTACATATTATATAATGAATTTTGGTTAATTCAGTTAACTGAATTTCTGACTTTGAAAACTAAAACCGAAAACCGAAAATCAAAATTCTTAAAAACCGAATTAACCGAACTGAAAATTTTGCACAAGTTGGGCTTGAGTTTTTGAACTTCAAGCTAGGTTTAGGCCAAAAAACTTAAGGCTAATCTAAACTCAGGTTGGGTTTGTGTTGAGGCCTTAGGTAGTTTAAACTTGACCTAACCCAATTTTATCAATGTTCTACTTGGAAATTGGACTATAAAGTTCAATATGCTCAAGTCCAAGTCCAACCCAAGATATTAGGTTAAATTCGGGTTGCGCCTAAGTTGGTAAACTCAGACCTGGGTTAGTAAATTATTAGTAATTATTGTCATTTTATTTTTGTTATATATTAGTAAATTATCAAAAATTATTAAAAATTATCGATAATTTTTCTCTTACCAACCTAGGCCTAACTTGAGTTTTAACCCAACATCTTGAATTGAGCTTGGGATTGGGTGTGTTGAGTTTTGTAGCCCAATTTCTAGGTAAAATATATTGATAATATGTAGATATATGTATATCACAAAATGTTGGGTGGGCTCAAATTTGTCGAATTGGGCTCGGGCTACCTAAAGCCTCAACCCAAGCCCAAATTGGCACTTTAGCTTGACTGTTTTGGCCTAAGCCTTGCTTGAAGTTGAAAATTCAAGCCCAACGTATGCAAAATCTTTGATTGAATTGATTGAATTGAGTCGGATTTGGATTAGGCCTATTCAAGCTGTCCTTTTGCCTCAAGTTCTTTTAACAAAACATGTGCAATAGTCCCCACTAATATATTTATATGGACTACCGTTTTGGTGTACGGTACATACGTTAAAATTTCCTATATGCCCCTCTAACAAGCACTGGCTTAAAACTTTCATGGATTAGCTAATATCCATTCGATCAGAATTTCTTTTCTGTCCTTGTTTGATAAGAATACATATTCAAACTAGAAATTCAAGATTGTGTTTTTGGTTTCAATTTTAAAATCAAGAAACCCATTACATAACCGAAACTTTCTGTGGATTTTTTGCTTTTAGATCTCAAATAAGAAGAAAAAAAAATCATGTTGGAGAGCACCATTTAGATAAATGTTTTGAAAACAAAAAGTATGCATCAAACTAGGAAGTTCTATTCAACCAGGAGGGCTAATCTTAAAACCATTAAAACTAAACAGTTACCCTTTGCCGAATTTTGTCTAGTTTTTCTGTTTCAATAAACTGATCTACTACAATTGTCAAAGATTGATTCAGATATGTTTCCTAAAGATACAATCCTTGTATTGAATTATTTTCTTTTGAAACCATTAATAATATAATGAGTACGTTCACCTAATTAATTCAAACATTAATTGTTATGATATTTAATTAATTATAATGGAGTCCATAAGATTGAACATTAAACCACTCGATCAAACATAATAAACACAACAATGTGATGAGTATTACAATCAAATTCACCTTAATTCAAACTTTGTTCTGAAATTTAATCAATTATAATAGAGTCGATGAGGACGAACACTAAATCACTTGATCAAACATACTCTAATATCATGCCAAGTGATCATTCAACCTAAAATATTAAGTTGTTATAACTGGGATCCCTGTAAAGGTTTTTATTCTCTTTCTTTATCATTAGCAAATCTCCTTAATTGGCCCAATAATGAAACCGTTATTTTTACTTCATGCAAAGAAAGAAAATCAGATAGCATAAAAAATTTCTGTTAATTAGAGGTGCATATGGTTGGTTGTTTCTTTTTTATCTATTTAAGCATATCTTCTTCGTTCATTCGATTGCTCAACTTCCACCATTCACATATCTTGGGTTGCACTGTTATTTAATTTACAGCATAATTAAGATCCCAAACTATTTCCAGAGATCTTCTACTAAAAGATTCAACTACACCGGACCAGTGAGCTCGACTCCCTCTTGAGAGTCAACATCTTCCTTTCGGTGGAGCTGGATTGGTTTGAACGTATACAACCTTGCACATATCAAGTAGTAGACAAGATTCAAAGCCTGCAACAATGTGATCAACCAGTAGAAGTATTCCAATTTTCCCTTGTTAAGATTGTCCGGAAGCCAGTTTGAACCTCCTGACCCTGCACTGAACTTGTGCACAAGCGTGACCAGCAGTGTACTAACGTAATTGCCTGCTGATATTGCCGTCCAAAAGAGTGCGGTGGCGGTGCTCTTCATGCTCTCCGGGATCTGATCATAGAAGAACTCGAGGTGCCCAATAGCCGTGAAGGCTTCAGCCATACCATGGAGACTGTACTGTGGGATGAGCCAGCAGACTGAAAGTGGGATGGTGGATTTGGGGCTGTCGGTGAGGCCATGCACTGAAGCGACGTGTTTTCGCTTGATCTCAACGAAGCCGGAGACGAGGGTGGCGAGCAGTGAGATGACGAAGCCAATGCCAATGCGCTGTAGGACGGAGATGCCCCTGTCGAGGCCGGTGAAGCGGCGAGCAATGGGGACGAAAATGCGGTCATAGAAGGTGATGGTTATGAGCATGGAAGACATGGTAAAGACGGACATGGAGCCTGGAGGAATTTCGAAGGAACGGGTGATGTGCCGATCCACGGTTCGAGCTTGTTGTAGGGAGAAAGTGTACTGCTGTGCATAAGCTGTGAAGAGAAGGATCCCGGCAGCCCATATTGGCACCATTCGAATAAGAGATTTCAGCTCTTCAACCCGGTGGACTGTACTTAGTCTCCATGGATTTGGTGTGGGTGAAGCTTTGAGATTGTCTTCTTCAGTGACAATAGCCGCCTTATCTAGAAATCTGCATTGCATTGCTTTCGTAAGGAATTAAAATTTGACATATATAGAGGAATTGAACGAATATAGTAGGTCTGACTCTGTTTCTGTCTCTGAGAGGGACTAAACAAGTGAAAAATAGTTAGTGTCGATTCTGTTACCCAAAGATGTTTGTGTAATCGCCTTCTGATTTCCCTCCTTTTAATTAATTCAGTCATTTATTTATTTATTTTTAATGATGAAAGACCTCAGTAGAATTAACTTATTACTCAGAGGTCCGGTTTCCATTTTTCCTAATCTTCCCAAAATTTTCTTAATTCAAACAAGCCAAATATTTTTTATTATCAAAATTATTTGAGATTGATCTAGATGGATTATCTCATATCTGAGTGGGTTGACTAGATAGATTAGGGTTGGGCTATTTAGATGGGCTAGTGTTAAAAAGATAGCTTACACTCTTAAGAAATTATATCTGTGGTTTTTTCAAAAAGAATGGATCAGTCTTAATCGATTATTAATAATCGGTTCCATAAGATAGACCCAGAAAACCAATTATTATTTGGGATAATTGGATCTGACCCAATTATATTTGACATCTATAGTTCTCTATTATAATAATAACTTTGAACTTCATTTTTTATAGTTAATCTTAACAAAACTGACAGTAAAATAATAACCTGTTGAATAAAACAAGTGTTTTTAACCCAAATTAACTATATAATCGTTTCAGGCCTTAATCAGTGGAAACAGCAAGAACCAGTCTCCACATGCTGAACCAAAACCAAGTAACTAACACACCCAACCCATTGAAAGCTATAAATTTTTCTTTGTTTTTAATTCCTCTGGGATGGGTTCTATAACCCTAGGCCCAATTAGTTTTCTAACGCTGTTTTTGTAAGAATCATTGAGAACTTTCCCTCAATTTACTGTTTTTCTTTCATTTTCTATCAAACCAAACATAACCTATAGCATAAGGACCGTCTGAGTGCACTGTAACTGGAAGTGGAGTCAACCTAGGCCCACCTATAGACAAAAATGGGCATGGCAATAAGGATGGGGCAAATCCAGAATCTAGAGAGAGAGAGAGAGAGAGAGAAAGGAGGGATAACAAATGACAAGCTTTAATTGTTGGCCACATCTTGATGGATGGTATAATATATGGCAATAAATCTCTTTTTTTTTTTTGAGAGAGAGAAGGAATCTGTTCAAAGTTTTATAAGTACAAAAGACATGAAAACTCCATTAGACTTGGTAACTAAAATTTTTCCCTTACAGATAATGTTGTTTATTCACTATTTCAGTCTATTGTTAAACAATTTTAGTATGATAGACAATTGAATTATTAGATAATTTTCATATATATATATATATAGTGATTTGGGCACATTTTTCTTAATGAAGGGAACACACCCCTTAATTAGAAGACAAACACCCGTGTTATCAAACAGTGGGTTGTGCCTAGTTTAACAAAGAAGGGATGTGCCCCGATCCCGATCACTCCCCTCTTTTAAACAAAGAAGGGATGCTAGTTTCATGAAATTTGAAGATTCATAAATTTAATTTTATATTATGTATGTTGCTTTTCCCACGAACCCATGAGAAAATGAAATATCAAGTCTAGCTTTTTTGTTTACCATCTTATTAATTGTTCTTATATTCAATATCCTTTATTTAACAGGCCAATTCACTGAAGTAAAGTTTATGATAGAAATTGGAAAGAAAAATAAAATTTAGGACAGAAAACAAATTTCTGGCAGACCCCAAATGGTCAAAAACAAGAGAAGGGGAATACTAAATTGAATCCAAGGGAAGATACCTTTTAGAAGGGTATTTTAGGCTTTCAAAGCTCAAACATGCCCTTGTAATCATGTAATGACCAAATTACCCATAGAACAAGTCCTTCCTTGGATTATTATTTCCTAACAAAAGCATTAAATCAAAACCAGATTTGGTTTTTTATTGTAGAAAGCAGCATGCAAATAGCTGCTTACAATTAATATGTAGCAGAGAATCATTTCCTAGTTTTTGGTACTCCTGAATCTTCTCTTACCGTATAAAAATTATTAAGTTTATCTCTTATTAAATGAGTAGGATTATATATGCAATGAAAATTTAATAGTAATAGGAGTGCAAACCAGGGTAAATCTAGGATTGGAGACCAAGAGACAATACTTTGACCTCTTTCGTTACCTTGGTTATCTTGGTTCAATAATTCAAAACAAATGAGAGATTGAAGATGATGTCACCCATAAAATTAGAGCAAGTTGGGTAAAATGGATGGATCCACCCGGAGTCTTATGTGATAGGCAAGTACTAGTTCAATTAAAAGAAAAAAATCTATAAAATAGTTGTAAAGTCAGCTATATTATATGAAGAGAGTGTTGGGTAGTTGAGAAACAGCATGTCAAGAAAGGACAGGGTTAGAAATGAAGTTATATGGAGTCTTACGGGTAATTACAGTAGGCACTAAAATTAATAATGAAAGTAGATTGAGATGGTTTGCTTTGGTGCATAGAAGACCATCTACTATGAGTTATGATCTGTTGACCACAATACATTACAGAGTTCACATCTTTGCCTCACAATTGGGGCCGCCCCACAGCACATCTCCGTCGTGTATTGGAAACATCTCCTGATGATAGTATCAGAATTAATGATGTCATCATCGGGAGATGTTCCCAATACACGGCGAGGATGTGCTGTGGGGCGGAGATGTAAATTCCACATTACTGGCCAAGCTCATCTAGTTGTATGTTGGAAAGAAGAACATAAAGTACAGTTGATGCTCCAGATGTGTGATTGAGTGAACGTGGCTAATAGATCTGAACTCATATACAACACTTTCTAGAAAAAGTGATCAGTTACATGTTGAAGGGCCATAGAAGAGTTGGGGATAGATTGAAAATGACTTGGGTGGAATTAAAAAGAAATGATTTAGGGGGTGTTCTATAACATGGATGAGAAATGTTCTATAGGTCCATCCACACCACACTTTTTGATTTTATACATCTCATATACAAACATCAATGTTTTAAAAATTGACTCGGAAGTCGAATTGTTTTTGTCTCTAAGTCGTAGGTCGAACGGTTTAGACCGTCCCACGTCATTATATATATGTATATATGTGTATAAATATATATTTTATCAATAAATAATGTATAAATATGTTTTACATATGTTATATGTATTTTTATATTTAATTTATATTTTTAACTCAGTTTTTAATTTTTTATTTAAAAAAATATTAAAAATTGCAAGGCACCTACGACTCCTTGGGACGCATCGAAAAGTTACCCAAAATAAAAAAAAATCATCCCAATCGGACATCAAAGTGCAAAGTTATGGCCTCCGAAAGTTTGTATACATTGAGTGTGCAACCCGTGACCTAGTGACAAGGTTGAATGGGTCAATAGTTGAACCGACTGGGTCGAAAGGTTCTTGACCAAATCAATGGTTTTTGACCGTTTGACGAGTCTTGATTGAACCAGACCCGAAATCTTGGTTGGGTGACGGTTCAAACGATTCAACCGGCCAGGTCAACGACGAGTTGAAAACACTGAGTTACACAATCAATTATAAATAAGTAATTATACTCAATAACCCAAATTAATTTGAAAATATCATCGATAAATTTATATTTACCAATAAAAATTTATTTTGACAAAAATAAGTGAAAATTAATTAAAAAGTAACAAAAATATTTTTACTAAAAATTTTAAATAATTCAATAAACAATTATTGAATTATTTAAATTTTCAATAAAATAGTAGAAATTATGCTAAATAATTAAAAGATATACCATTATAGCTTAAATAATATGACATGTGATGTATAATATCAGATACCCCTTTTTGTCCACTGGTGAAAAATAAGAACGGGGATGATCCCAACTAACCCAACACCAATTATAATCGTGGACAGGACAGGACCAAAAACGCAGTATGGAACACTAACTTAAGCACCAGAGGATTCATGTAGCTGAATGGGACAAGGGTTAGTTGATAATGATAAAGGTCTTTTGTTTATTCGTATTGTGTCATTGAGGGTTACCATTCACACGTAATAGAAAATTATAGAAGAAAATAATGATTAATTGGTGCCTCTCTTATCAATTATAATAATTCTATCTTCTATTAAATATTAATAATCGAATAAACAATTGATGAAATGGGAAATTATAGAAGAAAATAATGAACTCACTTGAATTGTTTACTGCGAAGAAGCTTTTCGGTTGCAGAAATGGAGGCATCAAGCTCCTCATTCTCGTAGAGTAATCTGGGATCAGAAAGTGTAGGCAACGTTCTCTTCCTCCAGGCAGCTACAATCACCTGTAGCAAGCGAGTGAAGGGGCTCCCGGAGGGATCCAGGTTTCGATAGAGTGGGTAGCCAACGATGAATATGAGAATGGAGAGAAACATGGCAATGGTTGGGACTCCAAAGCCCCACCCCCAGCCGATATTGTCCTGAATGTACACAATCACTGTCACAGCCAGAAGGATGGAGACACCCATCGAAAAGTAGTACCAATTGAAGAACTTCCATGTTCTAGCATTTTGCTTTTCCTCCGTCTGATCAAACTGGTCTGCGCCAAATGCCACCACACAAGCACGAATTCCACCCGCGCCGACGGCCGTCAGTAGTAGAGACACATAGAGGATGGCTAGCTCTCCAGCGTCGGCCTCCTGGCACACTTGCTTCCCTTTGCAAGGGGGTGGCCTCAGCTGTGGAAGGATCGCTGATGTAGTCAAGCTTGTCATTCCCTAAACGTACACACACACATATATATATATATATATATATATCAACATAAACACATCCTTAATTTACTCTCAAAAGTCAAAACCACGGAGAGAGAGAGAGAGATTTGTGTTTACTATTCGGTATATAATGGAACCCATAGTTATCGTCCAAAAGCGTCCCGCGAATGAATCTGCAACAAAGGCTCCAAGCAATGGTGTCAAGCTTGCAGTTCCCCCGAAGTTGGTTTGTGTGTTGGCTGCCTTAGTTAGAGGCATGTGTAGCTGCTGTGTCAAGTAGCTAATCATATTAGCATTAAAGCCAACCACAGCCAACTTCTCAGATATTTCATTTACTGCACAACGAAAATAAAAAAAAATAAAAAGAAAAATTGCATCAGAAAACTATCAATAACAGACCAAAGCAACAGCAAATGATGATGAATATGATGTATATATCATCATTTTAACATGGTAAGAAAGCTTACAGAAAATGAAGGGCATTGTTCTCATCCCTCCCTTTCTCCTTCTGTCATGACTACTTCTCTCCATCTTTTTTTTTTTTCTTTTCTTTCCCTGTTTTTTGATGCTTAAGATATCCTCTTCACTAACACCCACCCTCTATTTATAGATTGTTTGAAAGTTGATGTAACCAGTTAGTGATCCTTGTGATTTTTTTCCCGTTTTATTTATACTGTTAATTCCGCATTTTCATGGCCAGAAATGAATTATACAAGTAAAATTTGTTGAGGATACAAGTAATGTCAGAGTCATGAGACGCAATTAGAACAGGACAGTTTTGTTTCTACAATCATCACTTTCCATCTATTAAACAGCTGTTTCCCTGAAAGCTAAGGGAGAATGCATTGAATTATCTTCATAAATGCCTTTAGCTTTTATGTGTGTAGACCTCATCGCTTGATTCATGGGAGCTCTGGGACAAACAGGAAGCGACATA